CCTACTTTTTTTTAATTATATTATCTTATACTAGACGTATAAAAAAATACAGGATGAAAGAAAATGTGGGTCCAATAGTTCCAATGATATCATTTAAGCTAAAGTTTGTTTCCGCCCAATCGACATGCTAATTCAATTTTTAAATAAAATGTTTTTGTTTTCATTCAAAACCTTATTTTATTTATCGAAAACCTTATTTTAGACCCATTGATGCCATCACTGGGGCTCTATCCTTCTGTATTCTGTATTCAAAACAAATCATGGCTTGCTGACAGGGAGCTGTACATAGCCTCCAAAAACATTACCGCACCCTGCCACGGTACTCCTCTTAAGAACCCTCATCCCTGATGCAAGCAGTTGTCTGGCTCTTGGGAAGGATTATGCAAATATTAAAATGCCTTGATTGGTGGGTGTGCGTCTGGAGGAGTGGGTGCATGCAGACCACCCTTGGTAATACCCATGTGATGCTGATCTACTATGGTTAAAAGAAAAATAATCCAATTAATTAAAGGGGTGCGACAAACAGTAAGGCTGGGGAGGAAAAAGCTAGATTATGCTGGATGACCTCCAGCCAGGTTATGAGACGGGTACTATCTGACCTGCTGTAGCTTCTGTTGTACACTGAGAATCTAAGTGTGCAATGAAATCTCAATAAGCTGTTCAGTACAGGAGAGAAGCCTGTAAACTTGGCAAGACTGAAGGTAAAGCTGGAGTTGAGCGTTAAAAGGTATTGAAACCATGAGTGAATATGTAGCCTGTAGAAAGTGCTATCAACCCTTTCAGCTCTCACACTTTGTTCTAATACATAACTGGCTATAAAACTCTTCTGTAAGTTGTTTAAATGAACATTTACCATGCATATGACATTGGGTATTATAGACTGAACATATCACAAGGCACACATAGAAGATGCATTTTTCAAATGGTGCTGTCACAGATGCAGCCATTTGTTTATCAGACAGCTGAGCTCATACCGAAGCTAGACACTCGGCTTTCTCCTACACAATGCTGGTTCTGGGAAATATTTGCACATAGCGGAGTGCAGTGAACAAGGCAGGAAGTCTGCTAGTGAACAGTGTAAAAAGTGTATTGAGAAATCAGACTTCAAGACTAGGACATTCTTCTTTCACTTCTTGTTTTCAGTTTTCTAATTGTCATCTTAAAATAAGGAAACGTGATTGTGCAAGAAAGGCATATCGGCTTTGAGAAGACTGGTTTTCATGGGCAACCCTCCTTTCGTTTATTATTTATTACATGTAGTATGTTTCGGTGAGCAGAACATTGCTTTTTTTTCTTTCACAAAATTTTTAGTAACTTTCAAAAATACACAAAACATCGGCGGGATCTATACAGGTGCCCACCGACACGGCAGAGGCTCATGGTCTCATAACTAAAATACATAAAGCTCAGTACACCGTCAATAGATTTGGATATGAACACACAATACAGCATCTACTAGAATAAAGTTCACACCATGGCTATGACTGTCCTGTTCCACCAAGACGCACAACATCCGCGTCAACCAATCAACTTGAGGAAACAGTGGTGGTAACTCCGGGAGGTAGAGAATCCTGCGCCATCCTAACCCCAGTGTACAGATGAAATAACTCACTGAAAGCTGGGTATGCCCAAAATCATAATCATGACAACATGAGGGAAACAAAGGAGGAAAAAGTGAAAGCAAGTAAGGAAGAAAACAGCGAAGTAGAGGAAATAGGAAAGGAAGTGAAGTCAGGGGGAGAAAAAAAAGAAACTAATCCGCCCCCCCGAGAAAAATTAAAACAAATTCCACCCTTGTTACTCATAGCCCCGCCATAAGTTAGGGCTATGGGTACACTAGTGCAGGGCCAAAATTTTGGGGGCCTGAATAAGAGATCCACGGGCTCCAGATCTGCTTGAACTTCTTATAAGCATGAGCTACGATATCCGTCAGCTTTTCATAGTTAATCATAGTGCCTGTAATCCGATTCTTAACTCCCAGCAAATTTAGAGCAGGAGCCCTCCATGACTGGGCTATAGTTTTATTAACCACAAACATATGGGTGACCAAAACTTGTTTTGTCGCTTCCTTACTTGCAGTATTGGCTTGTGCAGTAATGCTTCCCAGGGATTTTTTATGAGAATACACCCCACAACAGTGTTGATCAAAGCATTACTCCAGATCCACAGTCGTTTAACTTGAGGACAATCCCATCAGATATGATGCATGGTGCCTGCAATGGAGCAAGCACGAAAGCAAGAGAACACTACTTTTTGAACACATTCCCCGTTACATGGCTGTTTGTTTTGTCTTCAGGAGGGTGTGGAAGCTAAAATGATTATGTAGGGCTGGGTCAAGGGGTATTTGGAGTTAGCACTCAAGTGAAAATAACACTTGTTCAGTACAATCATCTAAGGGCCCATGCAAAAAACAGAACCTCATATAAGTCATGGACACACATAAAGCAGAAATGTACCTATTAGATGAGAGGTTCTCAGTTGTATGTGGACCTGACGTATAGGTTTGCCACGCTGAATGTGTTTTCTTTTCAAATAAATCCAAAAGAAGTATTTTACAAACTAAAGTGATAAGTCCAACAAATCTGAGTATTGTTGCCATCTTAGGGAAGGAGGGATTGTTCAGAATCATTTTTAGGAGATACTGGCAACAAGCGTTCGTGTTTCAGAGAACCTGAGGTCTGATGCCAGGTACCTCCTGGTGTATGCCAGTATTGGTTTTAAAGGGGCATATATGTATGGGGAAGCGAGAGCATTTCACCGGACTGACCCCCCAAAAAACTAACAGTGTACGGCCAGCTTAAGGCCTCATTCACACAGGGCATGTTGCCCCATACAGTGTGAGGGGCTGTTTTTTTTGATGCACTGGAGCTGCGAAAAAAAGCATGCAGGCAGCTCATGTAAGTCCATGGAGTTACAGGAGTTGTGGACCCTTTCACACTGCTTCCTGCAGCACTGAGTTTTGACAGAATGTGTACGGCCTCTTAAGGTGCCCACACACCTTACAATTATCTGCAGATTTTCTGTGGTCAGATGGAAAAAGTGCAACAGATTGGCCCAGGTGGAGAGTCCTCCATCCACACAGTTAAGTGTAGATGAAGGAATCTGTTGCACCTTTTCCATCTGACCACAGAAAATCTGCAGATAATTGTAAGGTGTGTGGCCAGCTTTAGGCAGACATGATGTGTGTGTGGTGGTCAAAACTCAGAGCTGCAGGAAGCAGTGTGTGAAGGCACACATCTCCCTTCCCACAGCTCCAGGAGCCTCATGGATGCAACATGCCCAGTGTGAAGGCCTAAGTCTCTGCACACACTAGTGACCTTGTATATCACAGATGTCCCTATTTAGTGAAAAGTCAAACTTCCTCTGCAGGAGGCTGAAAGAGTAAAGCTATAGATCCAGGATGTCTATGTGTATATTTTATTCTCTCTCTCCCTCTCCATCTCCCCCTTTCTCTCTCCCTCTCTCTCTCTCTATCTTGGCCTCCATTTATTCAGTATATTGAATTTGAACAGAATTTATCTTATTAATAATTTGTAACTTTGACTATTCAAAACTGGATCACAAATAGTATGTCAAGCACCATTTTACCCAACTGCACAATTCTGCAGAGGGTTTCCCTTGATTGCCCATGTGTGTACCAATTGAAGTGCAGAATATACTGTTGAAACTCGAATAATTAGAATATTGTGCAAAAGTAATGGCAGTAATTGCTGCAAAAGGGGCCCAAACCAAGTACTGAGTACATATGCATGCTTGTACTTTTCAGAGGTCCGATATTGTTCTATGTACAATCCTTGTTTCATTGATTGCATGTAATAATCTACTTTTTTGAAGTTGTGGGTTTGGGGTTCTTGGGGTTTTCATGAGCTGTACGCCATAATCATCACAATTATGACAAATCACGGCTTGAATTATCTTGCTGTGCATGTAATGAGTCTCTCTCATATATTAGTTTCACCTTTTAAGTTGCATTAGTGAAATAAATGAACTTTGCACGATATTCTAATTATTCGAGTTTCACCTGTAGAAGAGCTAGAATTGTTCTGGCATGGAATGTCTATTAATGTAAAAGAAAGGCATGTACAAATCATATCGGGAGATATGAAATATCATGATTAATGATTTGAACAGTTTTTAAATAGGGCAGTAAAAGGAAAATAGCTGCAAACTGGTTAATGAGTACTACACTAAAGAAAACTCCACCCAAAAAAAACCTGATTGCTTGAAATGCAACTTCATTGTTTGTAATGAGCAAGAGCCCTACATTTGTAAATGACATTTTATTCATCTGTAGGCAAACATTCTCTGTTTACTATACTCTATAAATGGTATTCTTTTATTTTCCAGCATCCACTAGGACCAGAATACAGAGGCAGAGGTCCGAAGAATTATCAAACTCTACGACAACAGAAGAGCAGTAAGATGGCAGGCTCGGGCTCATTGCCGCGTGCGGTCACTGGTTTTGTCCTGTTTCTTTGTTTCACTTGGTTTCTTTATTTATACCATTGTGCAAAAGCAGCAAAGACCATAGATCTGGAAATCCAACATAATTATTCTTAGCTCAGCAATAGTAGGGGCACAGAGTCATATCATGCCCATTGCCAGATCTGAAGAGACTAAGCTGCTGCTATGTCTGAGGAACATGTAATATATCTTTATACAACCCTGCTCTGCACACTTGCACTGATCTTGAAGTGCACTATTTTAATGATGATATACTTGAAGTATTGTTTTAATTCTGTGCACATTTATTTACACCCGAGCCCAAAAGACAATTGTTACTAAACTCAGTACCACTGATTAAGTCCTTTCCCTCAGACATCCCAGAGGCTACCCAGTAATATGTGGCTGTATAGCTGTGTTGTACTTTATACCCAGGGCTCCATTCTCACCACATACAGAGATTTAACACACCTCATTCATGTGTTTTACCTGCATTGTGAAGGACACCATTAGGGTGCCTGGAATAGCACACCAAAATTCAGCAGAGGTGACTTTTGAACAAGACCAATTTAAAATAACAGGTCCATGTGCTTTGAACTAGCATGCAAATGATTCTGGTATTGATGATAGTAGGGATGCACTGATACCAAGTACTTGCACTCGCCCAAATGCTCCGATACCGGAACTTCCCTCTGACCGGCAGTGCAGAGGGAGCATGGAGCTGGCTTCCTTTCCAATCAAGAAGCCGTGTGGTATGTCATGACCTGCCTCTGAGCTTCCTGATTGATCAGGAAGCCAGGCTGCCTAGCAACAAGTGAAGCCGGCTTCTGGCTTCCTGATTGGCTAGGAAGCCGGCTTCACTAGTTGCTAGGCAGCCTGGCTACCTGACCAATTAGGAAGCCGGACGGCACCTCATGGCCCAGCTTCCTGATTGGTCAGGAAGCCAGGCAGCCACGGAAAGGGAAGACTGTGTTCTTTCGATAGAACACCGGCTTCACAGGCAATCAGGAAGCCTCCTGATAATCAGGGCACAAGGCACCGGTATCGGTACTCTGTATCCCAAGAGTACCGAAATAAAAGTATCAGTACTCGTAACCCAAAAACTAGTATCGCTGCATCCAGTTGTGTATTTTGATTTTGTGCTGCCCTAGGCAAGACTAAACCCGAGCACCCCCCATCCCTAATCTAAATTAGTCCCACCCCTTCCTGTTTAAGACATTTTGCATAACCTGTCAGTCGCGGGATACAGCGTGCACGGTGTATCTAGATTCTGACATGTTGCGCTATCAACGTAGCGGGATGCTCTAGTTCTACTTTTGCAATAGCCCCCGTCTCCATTCCTGGCTTGATGGGCTCCCTTGTTCTGCAGCTACAATAACCATTCTCTCCTGCCCTGCCATGCTGTGCTAGTCTCTAGTTCTGGAGCTACAACACCGATCTTCTGCCTTCATATGCTGGGCCCTCTAATTCTGCAGTTACCGATCTTCTTCCTCGGCCACTGGGCTCTGAAGCTTGCCCCGCTCTAGAGACATAACCCTGCACGGAGCTTATAGGCTGCACTTCCCTGGACTCACCACCACGGAGGTGCCGATGGGCACGATGACCATCTGGATCTCAGCCCTGGGGATCCTGCGGAAGCTCCTCCACTGCCTAAAGTCAGAGATTTGTGTTCCGGTTTCCCATGGAGGTCCGAACTGCCAGTGCATCTGGACGCAAACACTAATACATTGCACAGCACATTGGCCAGGAAGAGAAAGGAGCTGCAGCCAGCAAATATATGTAGGAGTAGGCGGCATGGGTGGACACCTTGGTCCCCCAGTCAAAGAAGCACCAGGTCCAGGAGTACTGGCAGTAATTTATGAATAATTTATCATATAATTTTTTTTTTCTCTCACCTAACTGGTTTGGGGGGCAACATTTTTTGGCGCTCCACCCCGGAAAGTGCCGCCCTAGGCAAATGCCTAGTTTGCCTTGCAGTAGATACACCCCTGGCTGCATCCCTAGTTGATAGTGAAAAAGTGCACTGTACCTACAATACACTAGATACTTTACAACCAAAAAGAAAGGAGTAAAAACACACTGCACTGAAAAC